GTTTACAATGGACAGAGTATGACAGGAGTAGTAAAGGTGAATTCCAGCATGCCATCACAAAAAAAAACAAAAACAAAAACAAAACAAAATTCACAAAATATTAGAGCAAAAATAGCTGGACACTAAGAGGATCCTAGGGGACACTAGAAGAAGGAGGCTTGGAAAAAGAGACAGCAATGGTTTCGAGAATCAGGTCCAATCGAGCATTTGTAGACAGCTGTTCTTCAAGCAGTTGTGCCCGAAGTTAATCATTTTCCTTCGTCAGTCGGGCGACTTCTTCATTAACAAAATCAGGTCCATTAACTACTTGACTGAGCTGAGTTTCCAGTGTGGCATTTTGAGCCCTCAACCTTCTGATCTCTTCATAAGCCTTATTTTGAGCGTTGATCAGCTGAGAAATAGTCGAGATGCTTCCACCAACTTTTTCTACACATTCACATTCTTCTAATGTGGTCTTAGAGAAGGTTTTCTTGCGTGTCCCCACTTTGGGATTCCCCATGGGGACCTAGTAGAATCTGAACTCCTGCGTGAGGAAAAAGCCATATGGTAGCCCATGATTTCCACCTTTAAAGTTTGCCACTTTTTGCATATTATGATTGCTAGCAGATTGATTGGGACAAACTCATCAATCGTTTCCATTAAGACCATATTCGATTTTGTAGCAATAGACCACCTCTCAGAATGAGGTAAGAGCACTTTATTGACCAGTTCAAAGAGAAGCTGATACTTAGGAAGTAATACCTTCTTATGCACCTGAAGCATCGAGTACAATGTCTACTACATTTACTAACGCACAAATGTGATCTCCCTCAACGGTGAAGAGAGATGTGTAGAAAGTTTGTACCGTATCTTCGTGCACCAGAGGCATGCTCCCTTCAAAAAAGTGCTCCCATTGCTAAAATTCCACAATCTGCATAATTTGTCTCATACCGGCCATCTCTGAAATTGTTGGGTCAAATGTACAACCCCACAAAACTTTCTGAGTTCTTAATCTCTGCTGCCAAAGACCACTATCAATGGGCATGGTCCTCAGAGTACCAAGTTCTCTAACAGTTTCCCGTTTTCATTTGCTAGATCCTTCAACAGACTTTCCTGTCCAGCTTACTAGCCCCATAACATTATATTCAGACATGGCTTGCTCAACTGGACTTTTCTTAGACTTGCTGCTGCTCTTCACGGATACACCATTTTGTTTCTCAATATTTTCACCGGAAGCTTTATCCACAGACTTTTGAACTTTCATAGATTGTTGCACTATAGAACCAGGTTCCTTTGGAGCATTTTTGTCAATCCCACTTACTGGAGCACTCTTGTTAGTAACACATTCCCCTTGATTCATCAACCTCTTTTTTCTTGTCTTGACACTCCTCCTGCTTTTCTGCAATGTAGACTCAAAACCCTCTTTCTGTTGTGACCTGATAGTGGGTGAGTTGGAGGAGGATTTTAAGAGCATAGGATGATTAGGAGGTGCAAAAGTGGGTTTGCCTGGAAGAGGATCAAGTTCTTAAGTAGGTTTTTCTGGGAACGTCTTATGAGCCAAAGACTCGAGGAGTACTATAGTTCTTACATCGCCTAGGAATGGAGTTTCTTAGCCCTGATACTCCGACAAGAGATATTCTCCTTCATTCAACAGACTCTCTGCAGCGATAGCCATGATGCTATGCGCTGCTTCCTTTTCTAGTGACTCTTTGAGAGTCACTAAGTCCAAAATGAAGGAGTTCAAATACTGATCAGGATCATCCTCAGAGACCTCTGACACTTGAGAGGTGAAACCCCCTAAGTGTTTTTTGATGAGATCAGAGGAGTGACGAGACATAGAGTTCTTAATATACAACAACAACAACAACAACCCAGTATAATCCCACTTAGTGGGGTCTGGGGAGGGTAGTGTGTACGCAGACCTTACCCCTACCCTGAGGTAGAGAGGTTGTTTCCAAATAGACCCCCGGCATCCTTCCCTCCAAGAACTTCCCACCTTGCTCTTGGGGAGACTCGAACTCACAACCTCTCGGTTGGAAGTGGAGGTTGCTTACCATCAGAGCAACCCCTCTTCCCACATAGAGTTCTTAATATATGGGAGAAAAATAGGGTTTGTCAGAAAAGGAAAGACTATAAGAAAAGAGGAGGAACCAGGTGTGGGTAAAGTAGTAATATGAGTGAAATAGTGAAGCTCTAGGGATAATTTCAAGGATGATAGGGAAGTGGGAGTGGTGTTAATGGTGGGAGAGGGAGGCGATTGTTCGATTGCCATTATAGGAGTATTTGGAATATGAGTAGAGTGAGAGAGAGAGAGAGATGAAGAGAGGATCACATCTACACAGAAGAGATGAAGGTTCATGACTTGATGTGAGGGAGAAAGAAAGTTTTATTGGAAGAAGGACTAATGATGAGAAGAGAGAGAAACGGGTTCTGAATAGTTCTGAAAACAGCAGTAGGTTTGTGGAAAAATGTTATCGTGCAGAGAGGATGAAGGGATTTGAAAGACAAGGCATGACATGCAGACTTTGAAAAGTCGGATGATGTGGCATTTGAGTTGATTTTGTTAAACAATTTTGAGAAGGCATGCAGAATAAGCACATTACTACTAACCTGTGGTACAGGAACCTAATGCCCGAACATTTTGTTTTTTTTGAAAAAAGGTTTTAGCAGCTCTTCTTTCGCAGTTTATAACTGTACCTTTAGCTTCTATGATCGTCATGTGTGTTTGTTTACCTGCAACGGTATTTATGTGAGTTAGGCTTGGTCAGAAAACACTTTAGCTAACTTTACTTGGCGATGTCTTGCAAAGACAACTTATGGAGAATTAGGTTTTTCATTAGACTCTCATGAAACCATCTTCACCTTGTTTGTTCCAGAATATTCTCTACTTAAGGCTTTGATAAAAATATCTAGAATTTGGTCTTCTGTTCTGAAAGACTTTCCACAGATCAACCCTTTCTCCATATTGACCCTCAGAAGATAATGCCACCCATCAATGTGTTGAGTCCTCTTGTTTTGAACTGCATAGAAAAGATATACCATCAGAAGATACCTCAAGGTTTTCCAGTTGCTGCTCAGTTCATAGGGTTTGAGCATAGCAGGGTGCTTCCGCTACACATTCTTCTTCAGTTGTTAACGAGGCCATTGAGTTTTGCTTCCTTGTCCCCCAAGGGATGATGCATGAACATGGCAAGTGAATTGTTCTAGAGTGTTTTTCCTTTCCACAAGAAAACATATATAGTTAACATCATCATACCCAACAAGATTAAAAACTGTCACATGAGGGGTAATACAGGACCAGGTCCTGAGTTCCCTTAAGGTATCTCAAAACTTCTTTGGGCAGCCTTCAAGTAGGATTCCTAAGGACTTGACTTTGGATTCTATTCTAGAGTGGAGATATAGAAGGGACTAAGAAAAAAATATTTTTTTTTGAATTTTTAATACGTATCTAACTCTAGAATAAAAGGGAGTGATTCAATTGTCACATAGATGGGAGCTTTTGTGTTTCCAGTTTGGTACTGAGGTTTGATTGGTAGGAGAAATTGGGAGGTTAATTTTATTTCCCCACACTCTTTGTTCTGTTGCTTGTGGAGTGCCATGAGCTGCATCTCCACTCTTTCTTCAGCTTCAGTGGTAGTAAGTGAAGTACCAAGTTCCTTGTGAGAAATGGAAGATGATGTTTCATTGTCTTTCACCAGTCTCCTTCATCTTACTCATTATATCAACCTCCCTATTTGAAACCTCAGATATTTCCTAGGGACTAGAGTTAGTTCATCATATTGATCATCACCGTTTCTTCCTTGGTTAGAGGAAGGTGTCTTGTTGAGTACCCCATGAGCACTTCCTTCCACTTAGTGTGCCCTTTGTTGTAGACTTTGTGGCTTTTTCTTTATGGAGAGTATCCCAGAAGGATTCCTTCATTCGCCTTTTGCATTGAACTTCCCAAGCTGGTCCTTCCCGTTGTCGAGAACATGGCATTTTCAGTCAAGAAGATTCTCAGATGAGTTGTCTTTGGTTTTCTTCCATTTGGCAGCTCATAGTGGGTTTTGATTCAGGAGAGACCTGATCATACACCTATACACCAAGTAGAAGGCAGTATTTACTGCTTTTGCCTAGAAATTCTTAGTGATTCCATTATCGATGAGCATTGTCCATGCCATGTCTTTTAGTTCTGTTCTTTCTTTCAGCAATTCTATTTTGTTGTGGAGTCCTTGGTGTTGAGAAGTTGTGTGTTATTCCATTTTTGTTACAAGCTCATCAAATTTTGGCGTTGTCACATTTTGTCCCGTGGTCAGATCTGGTGTATACTACCTTCAATTTTACCTTCACATGGATCTCCTTGATAGAGGACCTTAAACATTTCAAAAGTCTCATCCTTTGTTCTAAGAACCAATGCGTAGGTGAATCATGTATTTGACAGACCACGAACTAGGTCCTTCTCAAGTATCATATCACCAACTTGTAAGGATTCAAAATCAGCAACGTAGATGTTCTTGTTTCCTTTTGGCCACTAAGACCATCTTGTCAGTCACCAGATTGGTAGTTGTGCACTCTTTTGACAAGAACTCTACTTTGTTCCCTTCAACGCAGATTTGAGAGACACTCAGAAGACTGTACTTTAGGCCATCCACATAGTACACGTTCTCATTTGAGTGACAGAGAGATTTTTCAACTTTTCCAGCACTGAGAATGTATCATTTCCTTTATCAATGGATACATTCCTTTCCTGTAGGGCTTTTAGTGAGAAGAAATATATGGTGTTTCCAGTCACGTGCTTTGAGCATCCACTGTCCTTGGTTCATTGCAGTCCGCTTCCTCTCACTGTTCCCTGCACATGCAATTTATAGGTTAGATTTAGGAACCCAAACTAGTTTGGGTCCCTTGTTATGATAAAAGGGATGGATAAGGCCTTTTCTAGTCCATGTAGGCAATATTCATTTCTTGTGACCGGTACTTGGTCCCTTGTTAGTAGTCACTTTGTCAGTAAACACTTTGTTTTTTTGAACAGATTGAACCCTAGCCTAGCAAATTTCATTGAAGTGCCCATTGTTCCTACAATGGGTACACAGTTAGTTATCAGGAACAATGACGTACTTGTTGTGAGGGTTGTAGGGAGTTTTCTCCTTTTGGAACCCAATTCACTACCTGTTTCCACTATTATTCAAATACATGGCAGTCATAGCATCTGAGGACCAGGTCCATTTCAGAGATTTCTGAAGATCAATTTTGACTTTCTCCAATTCAGCTTGAAGTTGCCGATTTTTCTCAAGTTCACCACATAGACGAGTTTTCACATTATTTAATCCATGTTCAAGCTTGATGTGTGTCTCACTAACTACTTCCTTCCCTTTCTCAAGACTCCCAGTCTTATGTTCTCTATTGAGTCCCTCAATGGTTTCCTCTAGGTTAGTGATTATCACTAAGAAATCATCCCTCTCTTGCTCAGTAGCAGAAATGTTTTCTTCTAGGGTGTGTTTCTCCTTGTTGAGACCTTCTATTGTTTTCTTCAAGTCAACCACCACAACCATCAGGTCATCTCTCTTATTTTCTACACTAGTTATCTTTTCATTTAGAGCTTCCTTTCCTTTTTCAAAATTAGATATGGTCTCATTTAGGTCCACTACACAGACCACTAGATCATCTCTAGATTGTTCGGCTTCTCCTAGTTCTAAGGTCAGGATCTCTTTATCATTATCAAGGCTTTAATAAGTATCAATTAAAACATTGGCTAATGACCTTAACTTCTTAGAAGAATAGGATTTTAGATTTCTCTAAACATCCTTGAAATTTACCTCATCATCTTCATCTTCTTCATCCTCATCATATTATGCCATCAGCGCGAACAGTGAGTCATACTTTGTTGCTTTAGTTTCCACTGCTATCATGGAACTGTTTTCTTCATCTGGTTCTCTTTCTGATTCACTAGAGGAGTCTCCCCAAGCAGCAAGAGCCTGCTTCACAATGTTGTCAGCAGCGCTTTTTCGATTGAATCGTTTGTCTGGAACCAGGTTCCTTTTTGCTGCTTTGTCAGCATTTTGTTTGTATTGCTCCTGTTTTGCGAGTGGGCAATTTTTGATGAAATGCCTTGTCTTTCCGCACCTATGACAGAGATCATTGTTCCTTACTTTACTTGAACTGCCCCTCTTTGGTATACCACAATTTCTTCGAACCATCTTTTGAAATCTTTTAGTAAGGTAGGCCATGTCACTATCTTCATCACTTGAGTCACTGCTTTCAGCTTTGAGCACCAGGTTCTTTTCCTTCTTCGGCTCTCTTATTTCACTGTCTTTCTTTCTTTTCATCTCGTATGTCTTCAGATTACAAATCAACTCATCCATGGTTAGAGTTTGTAGGTCTTTAGCTTTAGTGATAGCATTCACCTTACTTTCCCATAAACCAGGTAGAACGCTAAGGATTTTCCTTACAAGCTTTTTTCTGGGAATAACATCTCTAAGTGAATGAAGCTCATTTATGATGGATGTGAATCTGGTGTGTATATCCTGTATAGACTCATCATCCTTCATCCTGAAGAGTTCATACTCTATGGTGAGCATGTCAATCTTAGATTGTTTAACCTGAGTAGTTCCTTTGTATTCAGTTTGCAACGCTTCCCATATTTATTTGGAAGTATCACAAGCTCAGACTCTGTTGTACTCATCGAGTCCTATACCATATACCAAGATTTTCTTACCGCAATAGTTCTTTTCCACAGATTTTCTATCAATATCATGTACTCCTTTCTGTTTTTCGGCACCATTGGTCTAGTTTCTTCAAGCTTCTTCATGGGATCATGTGGACCATTACAAATGATATCCCACAGTTCTGAATCCTCGGCCATTATAAAATCATGCATGCGAGTCTTCCACCGGCCGTAGTACTGGCCATTGAATCTACAAGGTCTATAGGTTGATTGTCCTTCCTCAAAGTTAGGTGGAACAACCATTGAGATCCTTTCTAGGTGTTAACCTTTTAGTAAGAACTTGCTCTGATACCAATTCTTAGTTTGTATGAGTCCACCAAACTGTAAAGTACCTGGTCCTCTATGAGATAATACTGAAAGTGCTAATAAAACTGAAAGTAAAGAAGGCAAGGAATTTTTACGTGGAAAAATCCCACACAAGGGGATCAAAAAACCACGAGTTACACTTGTAGGCTTTTAACTTTAATAACTTGCAATCTCACTATTACAAGCCACTTTGCAATAACCCTATTATAAAGACTTCAACTAACTTGTGATGCTCTCACCACAAGCCACTTTGTCACTCTCTACTAGTAAAGACTTTTACTCACTCTAATTTGTAATAACACTTATTACAAGCCACTTTTCAATAACCCTATTACAAAGACTTCAAATAACTTGTGATTCTCTCACCACAAGCCACTTTATAACTCTCCTAGTTACAAAGAATTTAAACTTATGACTAATCCTAGTCACAACATAAACTCGAAAGTTTACAGATTTTTGGTTTTCCTAAGACAAAGCTTCTAAGAAATCAACATAGGAGATACAATGAAGAACAAATAACAAGTTTACAACTCATTATGGATATACATAAACTCATTAAGAAACTAATCCTTAGTGGAGTGTCTTCTTGTTCTTGACGCACCAGTGACTTCAATGCCGGATGAACACTGTTATGCTTGAGAGAATATCACTGAATGCACAAGTGAAATGTTTTGCCTTGCACCAGGTTGTTATATCAGAAAAGACATCACAATTGATAGTGATGTCAATTCTTGGTGCACGCTTCTTCCCAATGAGAAGTGACTGTTGCACTGTCTGCTGCACAGTCACTTTTGTGCAATTGCATTCCAACTGTATAGTTGACTTGTACTTCTGTTAGAGAACACTAAGGGACTAGGTCCCAGTTGTGTTCCTCTTTTGTAACAGTTGCGAGATGGTCTCTTTCTGTTGTTACGTTCCAGTTGTACAATTGACTTGTACTTCTGTCAGAGAACCCTAAGGGACCAGGTCCCTGTTGTGTTCTTCTTTATAATGGTTGCGGACAGTCATTGACTTGTACTTCTGTCGGAGAACCCTAAGGGACCAGGTCACCAGGTCCCAGTTGTGTTCCTCCCTGTGGTTGTTCATTCATTTGCCGGAGATCAGACTGGACATTATTCAGTTAAAATGTATACCATGCGGGTCAGGTTCTCTATCTAGTTCTTCACAATAAGTTTGTTAGATCATCAAAACATAAGAAGCATAAGGCAAAGACATTGAAAACCCATCAATTTCCCCCTTTTTGATGATGACAAACTTAGGAATTGATATTATTTGTTTAGAGCAGAAATAACCAGATAAGATACCAGAAACTACACAAGTTCCCCCTTAATCTCAGAGCTCTTCTAAAAATCTATTTCCTTCCTTAATCTCAGATCTCTTTTTCTTTTTGATTCCCCCTTACTAAAATCTCATATTCTTCCCCCTTTTGGCATCATTAAAAAGAGCACAAGCAGGTAATTAGCATAAAGAAGTCTAACGCAGCTAGCTCATGCCACATATGTACACACAACATGATAGAAAAGAAAAGCCAGAGGAACATAGCATTGTACAGGCAAAAAAAGGAGTTGTTTTATTAATGTTTACAATGGACTGAGCATGACAGGAGCAGTAATGGTGAATTTCACCATGCCATCACAAAAAAAGAAAACAAAAATAAAACAACAGCCACAAAATATTAGAGCAAAAATAGCTGGACACTAAGAGGATCCTACGGGACACTAGAAGAAGAAGGCTTGGAAAAAAGAGACAGCAATGGTTTTGAGAATCAGGTCCAATCGAGCATTTGCAGACAGTTGTTCTTCAAGCAGTTGTGCCCGAAGTTTATCATTTTCCTTCGTTAGTCGGGCAACTTCTTCATTAACAAAATCAGATCCATTAACTACTTGACTGAGCTGAGTTTCCAGTATGGCATTTTGATCCCTCAACCTTCTGATCTCTTCAGAAGCCATATTTTGAGTGTTGATCAGCTGAGAAATGGTCGAGATGCTTCCACCAACTCTTTCTAAACATTCACATTCTTCTAATGTGGTCTTAGAAAAGGTTTGCTTGCATGTTCCCACTCTGTGATTCCCCAAGGGAACCTTGTAGAATCTAAACACCTGCGCAAGGAGAAAGCCATATGGTAGCCCATGATTCCCACCTTTAAAGTTTTCCACTTTTTGCATATGATCTATTATGATTGCTGGCAGATTGATTGGGACAAACTCATCAAGCGCTTCCATTAAGACCATACCCGATTTTGTAGCAATAGACCACCTCTCAGAATGAGGTAAGAGCACTTTATTGACCAGTTCAAAGAGAAGCTGATACTCAGGAAGTAATACCTTCTTATGCACTTGTTCCCCCTGTTGAATAGCTTGCTCTTTCATGATGGCTCTTCTAAAGTTGACACCACAGACACCTTTGACTGAGGACATTCCTTCGCATGGAATTTTAAGAACTTTCCCAATGCTGAAGCGTCGAGTACATTGTCTATTACATTTACTAACGCACAAATCTGATCTCCCTCAACGGTAAATAGAGATGCGTAGAAAGTTTGTACCATATCTTTGTGCACCAGAGGCATGCTCCCTTCAAACAAGTGCTCCCATTGCTGAAATTCCACAATCTCTATAATTTGTCTCATACCGGCCATCTCTGAAATTGCTGGGTCAAATGTATGACCCCGCAAAACTTTCTGAGTTCTTAATCTCTGCTGCCAAAGACCACTATCACTGGGCATGGTCCTCAGAGCACCAAGTTCTCTAACAGTTTCCCGTTTTCGTTTTCTAGATCCTTTAACAGACTTTCCTTTCCAGCTTACTAGCCCCATAACATTATATTCAGACATAGCTTGCTCAACTGGACTATTCTTAGACTTGCTGCTGCTCTTCACGGATGCACCATTTCGTTTCTCAATAGTTTCACCGGAAGCTTTATCCACAGACTTTTGAACTTTCATAGATTGTTGCCTATAGAACCAGGTTCCTTTGGAGCATTTTTGTCAATCCCACTTACTGGAGCACTCTTATCAGTAACACATTCCCCTTGATTCATCAACTTTTTCCTTGTCTTGACACTCCTCTTACATTTCTGCAATGTAGACTCAAAACCCTCTTTCTGCTGTGACCTGATAGTGGGTGAGTTGGAGGAGGATTCTAAGAGCTTAGGATGATCAAGAGGTGCATAAGTGGGTTTGCTTGGAAGAGGATCAGGTTCTTAAGTAGGTTTTTCTGGGAACGTTTTATGAGCCAAAGACTAGAGGAGTACTATGGTTCTTACATCGCCTAGGAATAGAGTTTCTTAGTCGTGATACTCAGATGAGAGATATTCTCCTTCATTCATCAGACTCTCTGCAGCGATAGCCATGATGTTATGCGCTGCTTCCTTTTCTAGTGACTTTTTGAGAGTCACTAAGTCCAAAATGGAGGAGTTCAAATACTGATCAGGATCATTCTTAGAGACCTCTGACACTTGACAGGTGAAACCCCCTGAGTGTTCTTTGATAAGATCAAAGGAGTGACGAGACATAGAGTTCTCAATATAAGGGACAAAAATAGGGTTTGTTAGAAAGGGAAAGACTATAGGAAAAGAGGAGGAACCAGGTGTGGGCAAAGTAGTAGTAGGAGTGAAATAGTGAAACTCTGGAGATGATTTCAAGGATGATAGGGAAGTGGGAGTAGTGTTAATGGTGGGAGAAGGAGGCGATTGTTTGATTGCCATTATAGGAGTATTTGGAATATGAGTAGAGTGAGAGAGAGAGAGAGAGAGAGATGAAGAGAGGATCATAGCTACATAGAAGAGATGAAGGTTCATGACTTGCTGTGAGGTAGAAAGAAAGTTTTATTGGAAGAAGGACTAATGATGAAAAGAGAGAGAAACGGGTTCTGAATAGTTCTGAAAACAACGGTAAGTTTGTGGGAAAACGTTATCGTGCAGAGAGGATGAAGGGATTTGAAAGACAAGACATGACATGCAGACTTTGAAAAGTCGGATGATGTGGCAGTTGAGTTGATTTTGTTAAAGAACTTTGAGAAGGCATGCAGAATAAGCACATTACTACTAACCTGTGGTACAGGAACCTGATGCCCGAACATTTTGATTTTTGAAAAAAGGTTTTAGCAGCTCTTCTTTCGCAGTTTATAACTGTACCTTTAGCTTCTATGATCGTCATGTGTGTTTACCTGCAACGGTATTGATGTGACTTAGGCTTGGTCAAAAAACATTTTAGCTAACTTTACTTGACGGTGTCTTGCATAGCCAACTGATGGAGAATCAGGTTTTCATTAGACTCTCATGACCCTATCTTCACCTTGTTTGTTCCAGAATATTCTCTACTTAAGGCTTTGATGAAGATATCTGGAATTTGGTCTTCTGTTCTACAAGACTTTCCACATATCAACCCTTTCTCCATATTGACCCTCAGAAGATAATGCCACCCCTCAATGTGCTGAGTCCTCTTGTTTTGAACTGCATAGAGAAGATATACCATCAGAAGATACCTCAAGGTCTTCTAGTTGTTGCTCAGTTAATAGGGTTTGAGCACAGCAAGGTGCTTCCGCTACACATTCTTCTTCAGTTGTTGACGAGGCCATTGAGTTTTGCTTCCTTGTCCCCCAAGGGATGAGGAATGAACATGGAAAGTGAATTGTTCTAGAGTGTTTTTCCTTTCCACAAGAAAACATGAACAGTTAACATCATTATACCCAACAGGATTAAAAACTGTCACCTGAGGGGTAATACAGGACCAGGTCCTGAGTTCCTTTAAGGTATCACAAAACTTCTTTGGGCAGCCTTCAAGTAGGATTCCTAAGGACTTGACTTTGGATTCTATTCTAGAGTGGAGATATAGAAGGGACTAAGAAAAAAATATTTTTTTGAGTTTTTAATACTTATCTAACTCTAGAATAAAAGGGGGTGATTAAATTGTCACATAGATGGGAGCTTTTGTGTTTCCA